GTTCGAATCCCGTTGAAGTCCTGATTTTTTCAGGCTTCTTCTTTCCAATTGCTTAAATTGGAAAATTTACTGCGATGATCATTCTTCACTTTCAAATTAGAGATTGTCAGGATTGTTGACTTCCACCGATTTTGCAATTACTGCATGTACAATCATGAATAATTATCACATTCACGGTTGAGCGCTTGTTAGATACTTCTGCATTGCCTATTTACGAAAATGCAGAATAAGCACATATCTATTACACAATCCTATTTGTCGTAAGATAGGCAGATTACTATACATCAGGCTTCGAAAGACTTCAAATATTGAGCCTTTATGACCTTTCGAAAGTCTCGTCTTTACGGAATATGTTAGAGCCTTTTAGTCGACGGCCGTCACTGTTGTTATCCAATAAGGGTCTACCAGCCGTTTAACTCTTTACCTTATACTCGCTTGTTATAGCAACAAAGATCTTAGCTTAGGTCCAGGGATAAACTGAAGAAAAAGAAAAAACAGGTTTTGAAAACAGAAATCATCGCAAGAATGTTTCCATCGCCAGGATTTTTTTCTCTGTGGAATAAATGAACAAGATATTTTTAGAAAACAAAGCAAACAAAGAACTGAATGCAAACTGCATGTGCGAGTCTCTAAAAAGGGACGTTTACCGTCTTTAGTGCTGAAACGGACGTCGTTCTTGTACTGAAACGAAACCGAAACTAACGATACAGCCAAAAATTGTTTCCACTACCAGGTGTTTTTCCCTTCGGAATAAATGAATAAGAGATTTTTGGAAAACAAAGCACACAATTGCAATCGCAATTGTGCGCTTACTTAAGTGCTAAACTGGACGTCGTTTTGCGCTGAAACGAAACCGAAACTGGCAATGCAGCCTATAAAATGTCTACACTAAGCACAGCAATTACCATATTTCGGAGTCTCTCTCAAGATTCTCAAGAAGTGAAGACGAAGCCTACATTTATACACCAGCAGGTAAAGAACGAAATACACTGATTGCCATCACGCATGCAGTAATATGAATAAGGAACAAGTGTTCGCCTCTGGACAAAAACCATTTACGTATTTCGACTGTCATATTTACACTATGCGTAGTTCAGTTTATACACGTTTAGCCACTGTTTTCCGCAATTCTTTGGTACTCGGATGAAATTTAATGTGAAAAAAACTTCAGCATACTGTTCAGTAAGAAAGGTTTATCAACAATTCTGAAAAGGAATGAATCTCATGCAGATGTACTATTCAGGTCACACGAAAAGCTGCAAACACCAATTAACAATTAGATTGTTATTACAAAAAGTATGTGCAGTTTCACTTATGATATATTGAAAAAGTCAGTTCAGTGCCGTACAGCCAACTAACGTCCAGGGTAAATGAAATAAACATCTTCGGTGCCTAGTGGGAGAATGGACTACCTTTTACAGTATTCTTTGTGCAGGAGTCCATTACTAACTAGTGCTGGTAAGCTAGGAAGCTTTCAACATAGAATATTCCATAGAACTATTGATACAAATGCATTGTTAATGGCAACTGGTGTTAAAGATCGCGATGAGTGGTTTTTGCGTTCAAGAGAACACATTTCTTTTCGGGAAATCGGAAAAATAGATCGTTTTCACGTAACGTCATCACTTTCTAAAATCCAAAACGAAAGAGCCACCAAAGTTTTTGTCCTCATCAGGCACAAGAGGCGGTATATTTATATCTGTTTACGA